CACCCCGAGATGAGACGCTTCTGTCGCAGCATCAGCCGTAACGGGCCATTCACGAGCATCCACGCCAGCAGCCTTGCGACAGCCGAACACGCGTTGCAGCAGCGAAACAACTTTCAGCATATTCCAGTGGTCAAGCAAAGGTGACAAAGCGCTGACGGAAGCTCCCGGTTCCGATGTACTCCCCCATTCAGCTGCGCTGGGTTAGAGTTAAAGATAGAGTTAAAGATCCTGTATCATCCACATTTCAAATGTAGACCCTGGTTCACTTGGCCACTTGTATTACAGTTGCTCTCCTGGACAAACTGAACTCCCTGCCTCACCCGGCCGTCCCTACCTTCAGTCTAAAGCCACCTTGGCCCGCACAAGCGACCCCGGCCACGTCACGCGGTCAATGACGTGACACAGCCGGCCACGCCGCTTAATCAGTGGCCGGGCTGGCTGAAAGCCGATCCTGGAATCCATTACCAATCGCCTACTATACAGATACCCAGCGTAAGTCAGACAGTTTGCATATACCAGATGTTTTTAGCCAAAAAGGCCAAGGGACCCCAGACCTTCGGAGTGATGTGCTGCGGTGGTTGGGAACACGACCAGACAGAGTCCGAAGGCATACGCTTCGCTCCAATGGAATGCCCCTTCCGCGATGGACCACGAGATCAGTTAATCGGGAGTACGCCTTTACGCATTGGAACGGTTCGAGTGGTGAGTCTCCACTCACTTCCTCAGCATTTCAGACTGCCTGAGCGGGATGCGATCTTGTACAACAATTTGTTTGCAAAAGTTGTATCTTTATGCGGGTGCTGCCGGACCCATTCCTGCAAAAATAAAACAAAGAGGTAGCTATAGGAAAGGACACATCCTAAACCAGCGGAAAAAAACACAACCGCATTAAGTAACGCTGATAGTTGATCGAGAGTGGTTACACAGCAGTTTGGCCGTAGCACATGCCCCAATCTGACGAGAGATGCGAGACACGCGTGGGGACAGCCCCGACCTCGTCCTCTATACGAACTAAATACTGCGCCGCGGCTGCAGAGCGGCCACTGAGACCGGAAGGCGAGCTCCGGTTGCCCCTGCCGCGGGACGCTGGCCGGGCCGCCGAGATGACCCGGCCGGCATCCCCTGCCCCTGCCGGGGGACGCTGGCCGGCCGCCGAGGCCACCCGGCCGGCATCCCCTGCCCCTGCCGGGGGACGCTGGCCGGACCGCCGAGGCCACCCGGCCGGCATCCCCTGCCCCTGCCGCGGGACGCTGGCCGGGCCGCCGAGATGACCCGGCCGGCATCCCCTGCCCCTGCCGGGGGACGCTGGCCGGGCCGCCGAGGCCACCCGGCCGGCATCCCCTGCCCCTGCCGCGGGACGCTGGCCGGGCCGCCGAGATGACCCGGCCGGCATCCCCTGCCCCTGCCGGGGGACGCTGGCCGGACCGCCGAGGCCACTCGGGCCGGGACTCATGGAACGGGACGCAACACTGCTGCGAGCCCGGGCTGCACCTGCCTCTGCAGCTGTAGCGCAACTGCCAGAGCCACACGCGCACTTTGACAGCCAACCTGGTCCCCGACTCCACTACAGCTCACTCATTGGAATTATCTCCTCTCTTTGTCTCTTGGCACCGCCACAAGGCGTTGCCTATATAGGGATACATTGTTCGAAATATCAACCATGAGTTATTACGGTAAAAAATTGTGTCCTCGTCTCTCATAGCGTCCCACCAAAAAACACTTAAGGCGCGCTTGGCACAAACGGCCGCGTGCCGACAACCAGTGACTCTAAGAGGAAGGACGATGGAGGTGGCACACCGCCAGGTGGCAGGCTCGGCGTCCCGCCATCCGCCCGCCAATTTGCTGGCCATACAAAAAGTCCTAACGATTAGGTCACAGCAGCATGTCTTAGTGTAGAAGTGGCCGGAGCAGCGGACTTAAACCCGATGAGCACGTTCGTTTTGAAGGGCTTAGTCCATCCACAAAAAGTCACTCTACGTCGCTTTGCGATCAGATTGTACACTCTTTTCGATGCTACATGCTACGTCATTGTAATTTTATAATTGATGCAATGTTACAGACACAGCTATGGCCTATGTTCATTGCTACGGCGTCTGAAATGAAGCATTATAATTTTTCATACTTCTTAAAATATAGATTTCTAAGCCCTCACAATCCGCGCTATGAAAGTATTTACCCGACAATCAAAAACCACCAACCAGAAGTCCAACACCAATTAACCTGTTTCGTGGCTTGGGTTACGTGGATGGCGGGTCAATGTTTACGTTTGTGCCGTGCTTGTCGAGATTGGTTGATTATTTTGGACTTTGAGAGCTGAGACCACTTCGTCGCATGACCACCTCGTTTAGCGTTTTGTAACAATTCTCATTTCAGCGCCGCTCGTGGTACAAGATTATTATTTTTTAACACGCACCGGGGCGGCTGGTTGGATACCCTTAACGCGGGTGGGGTCAGGGGTCAGTTGACCCCCTGAAATCTCAGGAAATGAGAAAGTTAGATACACCAAATTTACAGGATGGGTTGGTTTGTGCCTGAACTCCCTCAGGGCAAAGCTTGAGGATCCTAGGTTATGACCTTCGGGTCAAATAAATGTCGAACAAGGTCAATCTCCAGGCTGGCCTCCAAAGTTCCCCCGGAACCTAGATGCCTGTTCTAAGCAAAAGGTCACATGATCATTTAAGGCTAGTGACCTTGCTTGACCTTTCGAAGGTCATGGTGACCAAAATCAGACTACAGTGCTTTGAGTTTTGCATTTGAATCGGCAACAAAGATGACGCTACGCAGTATGTTCCTAAAACCGAAATGTTGACCTGGGTCGTTTTAGGTCAGTGAATTGTATGATGCGGTTTCTCTTATCAGTACTTTCGAAATGAGCACCAGAAACTACCTCATACAGCAATCCCTAGAGTGGTAAAACAGATTGGATTTGACTTTTGATCTGACCTTCAAAACCTACCTTAGGTCAATGGAATTCTTTCATTCAATTGTTGCGTTGCCTAAGAAAGTATCTCCGATATACGGTCGGATGTAGAGATGTACGGTCTCGTCTAAGACTCCGTTGTTTCAGCAGACTACTCGATGCCCTAGAAATTGGCTTCGCAGAATCCATGGCCTCACTTTGACCTGCCGTAGGTCAGTGACCTTACAATGTACAACTAAATTTTTTGATACCAAACGATCTGCTATTCAATTGCCTACAGCTCTGCAAAATTTGGCGCGGCTGCGCCGCGCCGCTCGGAAACTATTCTGGAAAATCTTCGGGGGGATCAATTTAGCCCCCAGCCCCACCCGAGCGCGTGTTAAAGCAGCAATTGGGCAGCGTACATGTCATAACCGCCGTTAGCATTTGTACGCTGTCCTGTTGTGGGCATACTCACCTACAGCACATCACACGCTCCAGCTATGGACCTAGGACCTAATGATCACAGATCACCGACTCGTTAAAAACAGAGCAAGGCGTATCATATTTCTTGAATTAGCCTGGATCGTATCATCATAATGTTCTTCGTCTTAACAAGGCGTGCGGGCGGGGGGGGGGGGAGCAGTAGATCATCCTAAAGGGTACAAATTGACACCCGTGATTCGAAACGTTAATTCACGAATATATAAGAACATGCCACCTGTTTCTTGGTGAGCTACTTTTTAATCGAACAAACGAAAACGAGAGTATGTGCAGTTGCGAACAGAACAGCAAGGTCGGTAAAATACGCAGATTTTATTTTTAGCATGCTCGCAATTCGAAAGTCTATATCGCCCCCAATTGTTTCTTCACAAAAAGACCCTGTTTTGTAGTGCCAATTCACCAGCACGATTTTGGCAAGGAGAGGTCATGACTCCTGAAAGGTCACTGGTAATGCAACACGCTTGTAGTGCTATCGTAAGAATCAAGTCTATTGGCTATTGTAAATATTTTAACCCGTGGCGGTGCGGCGGTCACGTCACCGTTCCGCAGCCGACATGGTGCGGGCGCTCGGAACGGTACACGGGCACCGTTTTGCGTACGGCGCGGGCCCCGGCTGTAAGCGGCACCAAAGTTCAGCTGGTTCGAAGAACTCTCGCTAGATGGCAGGTGGCGGCCGCGCTGGCGCGGGAAACCGAGGCCGGCCGCCAAGCGATGAAAAACTCCGAATCGGATGTTGCAGGTGCTATAGCAAGGTGATGCGCTTGTGCAATGGAAAGGCTGGTATCACTGTGGCGCCTACCCTACGTAACCCGTGGAGTTCAGCCGCTCGGGGCATTCGGCATCGTGACCACTCGGGGTACGTTCTTGGGGACGGGTCAAAGAGGGTGGGACTTTGCGGTCTTTGGGGGGGGGGGGGATTCCTCATGTGTTGTCAAACTTTGTACACTGGAATTGGATTTGAGAAAAGCGTGTGTGTTGATACCGGATTATTAATCAGGCGAGTTCTTTGTCGTGCATTAGCGCTTCACATTCGAAAGTAACGTGTTGAGTTTGATAATCTTCCGAGTTTGGCTAGTGATTATTATATAGATGGGCAGTGAGCATATCTTTTCAGTTCCTGGTGCGCTGTGCCGGCGTTGCTCTGCCGTGAACGCTAAACGAGCTGTCCTGGGCCCGCACATCCATACTGCGTGGCAGGCGGAGCAAGTGTGCGTAGGACTGAACAACGATGCGTGGATGTGGCCACTAAGTGCAATTTAGTATTTCTCAGTGAGGACTGGCGCGAAGCGCTTGCCATCAACGTGAGACCTTTACACTATTTTACACAGGCATCTCGACAGGGTTTTGTCCAGCAATGCCAATTTGTATTTCCTCGTGAAGGTCCTGAACTCAGTGAAAAGTTATGGCCCATCTGTTGGTTTGGATGACCCCATTATCCTTGTCAGTTTTATCATATGTACTGATCTGTCAGTTGTCACTTCCTATACCCCAAGATGCCCGTGACGTAAAATGAAAAAGGTGACAGCAAATTTGAGCTTATTTTCTCAAAGAGACGATTCCAGCGCAACCGATACAGTTATCAGCCTCTCGCAGCACCACCGGTTTGGTGAGCGTGAGGAATGTTAAGATTGGCAGCGGTGTGTTCGTTCTGCCGTTACAGGTAAAGAAATTAGCATGCGCGTAATAAACTCAATAACTCGCAATGCGTAATGCAATCAGACAGTTGCCTGGAGCCGCCCAAAATCCAAGGATCCTCCATAGAACCCTTGTGATCCTGGATCGGCTCTTCATAGATAGCCATGGATCTGCTCTTGGGGTCCGGGATTCCAGGCACTAGTCTGACAAATGGCACCGCATGAAAGCGGTCTTTGGTACAAAGGGGATATGATAGAAATGTCATTAGAGGATATGTGGCATATGTGCGCATTTTGACACAGGCATGTTTTTCTAGTCACAGAAGTTCCTGGAATATATTTGTGTGATCTCATGTCTATGTATATTTTACAGGGTTTTGTAGGACATGTCAAATTCTTTGTGGGGCCTGTCAGGCAGTCACTGATCTCCCACTCATTTACTTTGTGTTAGTCATTTCTGAAAAAATGTCATTTGGCATACAACTGTGGGATCATTGTAAGCATCCTTTTTGTATGTTCTGCCTGAATTTTAAAGAAAACATTCAGCTGCATTAAGCTACACGACCTCTCAGTGAGATGCCTACATATGCTGACTTGCATATCATTGGCAGTTAAGTAGTGTGTGCACCAGATGTGCACTAGCATCTATCAAATCAACAAATTTCTTGGGAGGAGTTCTAGGGAGCAAAACAGCAAGCGTAGCCTACTGATTTGTTACTAACCTATATAATGGTATGGAAGAATGGGCAATTTTCTCTGAATATTTTTAATGCAGGAACTGGACCATGAACATAAAAGTAGAAGCCCCTGGTACCAACAAATACCAGTATGATGATAGTCAAGATGCACTTCTGAGAGTCAGTCAGATGAGAGTCAAGATGCACTTCTGAGAAACCAGATGTGCAGGCTTTAGACACCCTGTGGTGGATGTGTTTCCTCCATGATGAGAGATAGGAGACTCCAGAGAGCTTTAACATCTGATTTCATTGTCAAACCCTAATAACAGCAAAAAAGGTGCAGATGTTGGGCCGAATGAGTAGCTGATTGGTGTTTCATGTATGGCAGGACAAAAAGAGGTTAAAGCAATATGTTGAGCAATATGTTGCAAAAATGATTTTAGAGATAGGTCATGGATAAATAAAAGATTTGTAATTTTGTGGCGGTGCAGGGTAAAAATCACTTCACAAAACCTGTGTATTTTTCTGTCCCCCTCACCTGTAATGCTCTGGTTATGATCTCATGTCCCAGTTTGAACAACATTGGTAATTGCTCATTGTATGCTTGTGTACTATGGAAGAACATTCAAAATATTCTTGATCTTTTACTGCCCTCTGAGCTGCATCTCTGGGTCGTCCTGTATCGTAGCATATGAATGAAAAGGTATAGCATTGCAGTCACATAGTTTATTTGGACCACCAGTCAGGATTAGGTTGGCTAGATATGATACTGTATGACAAGAAAATCAAAACACAATATCTTTACATCAACATCTGCCTGCATCACTTATCACACAATATGCAAGATAACTGTTTGTGTGCTGCTGTGACAGTGTAAGAATATAGAGAAGCTTCTTATGATATCCCATCCTGATGGCTCAGCTGGTTAACGCAATTTTTTATCCCTTCTGATCCATCCACCTATTATGGGATGAGTTTGAGTTGCTTTTGGTGCTCTATTATTAGGCTTTGACAGGTATGGCCTGTGGCCAGTGGCAGCAGCCATGCTAGAGGTTAGGTGACGTCAGAGGGCAAAATGGGCAGTGCTGAGCATTGTGGGACATTAGGAAACTTTCATCCCAAATTTCTGCGGTAAATGTGGCATTGGTAAACATCAAACCTACAATTGATGGTAGGGGTAAGGACTGACAGGTCAAGTACTGCTTAATGTGAGCTCTGATCCCAGAAATGGATCCATTCAGAGGGGTCACCTTTCAGGATCCTCCCATGTCAAAATGGACACCTTGAAAAGCAAAACATAGCATAGTTATGTAAGTGATTCAGAACACCAATCGAGTTAAGAATTGACAGTTAACATCCTCAACAAGCGTCCAATGCTCAATGAACCATAACTATGCTCATCACGCATCCTCATTTATGCTCAATTAGTTGCCTGGATTATCAGCAATCACATTTTACCTTGGCGAGGATAGATGCTACTGAATACCATAAATGGATTATTCCATTACACATATGACAACATGTATAGCCAATATTTTTAGACATTTATGACCTGTCTTAAGTATGGTTATGATTTGGCATCTGTAGTTCACTATGTCCTTAAGGTAGAATTAGATGTGACTGAAAATTACGTTGAGTTCCTTAGAGTCACAGTCAGATTCAAACAATGGTATCATGAGTCAGGGAAGAGCCCAATCCAGCTTGAGCAAGACCCAGCACATGTCTGACGAGTGTATCGTGGGAAGATCATTCCTCAAGACGCTCAGACAGGATATGAGAACAATTTGTGTCACACATCGCATACTAATTGATGCAACTTTTAACCCCATGCAGGTGTTGTATTGACAGGTCATGATTTAGCACATCAAGCTATCAAAGCCTGAAGAAATGGGTCCGAAGAAGCCAGCGGCGGGAGGAAAAGGAGCTGCTGGCGGTAAAGGTGCCAAAGGCAAGGCTGGAGGCGACAGCAGTGCAGATGGGTCGTCAGCAAAAGACAAAAAGGGTGGAGGCACATCTCAAGTTAAAGTGAGTATTGTATGTAAATTCTGCGTATATAGCATAGCCTCGCAGGTTCCAGAATCGCGCGTGGGAAACTCCTAGAACTCAAACGGATAGCGTTTTACGCTGTTTCAAACGGCTTTTGGTCGTTTGGAAATAAATTTGTACTCACGACCGATCGATGGCGGATGGTCGGTGTTGGTACAAATCGTCCTACGACGTCGGTCGTTAATCCTGTCAATCGTCTCGTCAAATCCCTAAAGCGCAAATCACCTGAGCCAGCCAATTTCAATAGTTTTCGAGTCACGAAGAGTGTAAATGTTTATATTGCCGTTGTCATTTGCCAAATAAGCTGCAGTGTAACTCGTACAAAAATGCTCATCTCACTGTTTCACACGCTTTTAGCCAAGTTGTGAAAAGTAAGTTATATTTGGGCAACTTGAATGGCTGTATTCTTTTCAAAATAACGTGATCTTCGTAAGTTACGTTAACAAATTCAACACAGAAGTAAATGAAGAAGAAAACAAGTGACTTTATTCCGCAAGTCTATCAGTGTACATGCAATAAAATCAAGACAGCTGCGCAACGATCAGTTTCCTCAGCCTGTTTCAGTCTCATTCACATGCGACATTAAAACGGCAGTGTTCCGTGGTTCTACGAACACCTCCAATGCTGTCAAACTCTGTTAGTTTTCAGGTGACAGCTATAATTGTTGACATTAACAGTTATGTAAATCTCCTGCTCAAATATGTATCGTTAAAAGCAAAATAATCCATGTACCTTTTATAGCTATCATTTCACGGTAGGGCTGCCCCCTTCGGTTGGAACCGTGTGATGTTTTTTTAGTGCATTTTGTACTCTGAAATCAGCACATTGGTTGTTAGAATTGGGTGTTTTGTTTGCGATATGCATTTACTTCAAACCGGTGCTGGTGCAGGGTTCCGGACATGGTGTTTCGAGAAACAACCGTAGAATTAAATCGATAAGTTAATGGTACCTATCAGGCTTCGTGAAGGAAATTAAAACGTTTTATAAGTCATCGTTACGTTGCCGATAAATGCAGCTGAACTAGGCAGGAAGGCAGGTAAAAAAGTATGTCTTCCAAGTAAGATAACTAGGAATGTTCAGAGTGAATGAGCTAGGTTCAGTATGTAATGGTCAAAGATGTAGTCCAGCTCTAAATCGTGGAAAACGGAAACACCGACATTTTGGGATAGAGAAAGAACGGAAAGGAAACTCGTCAATCGGATATATATATATATATATATATATATATATATATATATATATATATATATATATTTGAACTGGAAACCTAGGTGTGATGAGTACGCATCTGTTCTGAATAGTCGGGAAATGAAATGTAATTATACTTTTCGTGCATGAAAAACATTGCTAGATCGCCAATGCTCTAAGACCTGAAATTATGGACTTTCGCCCAAAAGTTAAGTCAGCCGAGCACTTATCCCTTCCGTACAATGCCGTATGCTGCGCGTTGGTTATCGCTGCTCGACTTCAGTATCGTATTCACCAGGTGCGGCATATCCTCTGCGAAAAGCAGTCCAAGGCACTGGAGGCGCTGGAGAAGCTGCGGGCCGGCGCCAAGTTCAACGAGGTGGCCGCCACGTACAGCGAGGACAAGGCGCGCTCTGGCGGCGACCTCGGCTGGATGCAGCGCGGCTCCATGGTCGGCCCGTTCCAGGAGGCGGCGTTCGCGCTGACGCCGTCCACCACGGCCAGCCCGCGCTACACCGACCCGCCCGTCAAGACCAAGTTCGGCTACCACATCATCATGATCGAGGGCAAGAAGTGACGGCCGACAGCCGGCTGTGCGCTGTGTCGGGGCGCCGATGGCGCAGACAGTGGATGCAGCGGCGTGTTGCCTGTTAAGTGTTTGTCCGGTTCGCTTTGGGGAAGGGGGGTTTGATTTTAATACACGTTTTCGAAACAGTCTTTTGTTGGTCCGCGCCTGCTGCTGCACGCTTTGTTCGCTGCGCGCTTTCTGTTCACATGTTGAATGGTCTGTGAGTCGGTTGTGGCGAGACCTAACGTTGTTTCCCACGACTCACGTGGTGATGAGGCATTACTGCTGCTGTATTTCTTCCGTTGCCCTCAGAGAGCCGTCCATAATCACGTTTGCGCGGTTTGCACGTTTCCGCGTCTTCCTCTACCCCCAGCTGATTCGAGTTCGAACCCCCACAAAACTCGTTTACGATCAACGTAGCGCGAGGAGCAGCACACCCATCCCAGCTTGCGCTCTGTATGCCTTAAACCAAATTTTGCGCAGTTGTTTTTGGTTTTTGGTCTCGGGTTTTCGGCCGTTCTCGCGACAGCGCATCTGCCAAGATTGTCAACACGCTGAAAACAAAGCAACGCGTTCGATGGCTGATTTGCGACACAAAATTAACGTTCTGCTTGTGCACCGGCCAACGGACCATAAAAATGACGGATAAGCACGCGAGCTTGAACGCGAACGAGAAGTTTCACAGGTTGTAGCGGCTTCTTTCTCCTGTCCCGGGCGCGCAACAATATCTTCCATTGCTCTTCATGCGCCCACCCTATACCTTTGCTCTACCGGACAGGTGAATGGCCGTGGAGAGCCCTCTACCGGCCTACCGGCGTCCTGGAGGCTGGCAGTGCCGCGGCCTCTCACCACACGTCGCAGTGGTCGGCACGACTTCTGCGCGAGCCGACCGGGCTCTGTCAGTCGCGGGCGAAATGTTTCGTGTTCTATGCCGAGGAACGACGGTGCGTGGATGTTGGTGAGCAGCATAAGCCGGATCCACTCTTCCGCGTAGACGAAGCATCAGTCGCTGGGCAAGCTTGGCCAGAACATCTGCTCATTGGTCTACCGCTGCAGGCCGGGAAGAACTGGTTCACGGCCCTCGCTGTTCTGATGGCGGCCGTACACGCGGCGCACCATCCATATGCCGCTGTTGTCGGATATGTGCCCGCCTTGGGTAAGGCTGCCGTTCACCCGCGTCCAGAACATGGAGTACGTTAACGGAAGCACGCGGCTTTTCGGCCGCAGTGAGCGGAAAATTGGAAAATCAACATTTGTCTGGTGATGAACCAGCAACCTCCTCGCGGGAGATTGGGGAGGGCTGCAGCCCATCGACGTCTGTGGTGCAAGGACTGTGACACTACGCAAGTGTTTAGCGGCCGCTGACATTTGGTCCAGTACTCACAGTCAGCACATTCATCCGCTCAGAGCGCAGAGCCAGAGGTGGCTCACCGACGCTGCACTTTTGGGCGGTCCAGGTGGCGGCTGTCCGTTCAATGGTGTTCTCTGTTCCTGTTGCTCAGACAAGCAAGAGCAGGGCTTTATAAGCTTTGGGTAGCCTGAGTGCTCTAATGCTGACTTCTCATTCTTCGTTTCTCTCATTCTCATTCCCCCATTCATTTTCTGAGCCACCCGCCCCGAATGCAGTGAGCAAAAAAAAAAAAAACGATGAGCCGATGTAATACAGCAAATTGCTTTGAACTTCTGGTACACTAGGTGACTAAACAAACTATTTTTAGCGTCATGCTCATTTCCAAGTCAGTATTTTATCGTGGCCCTGGCCGGGCCCTAGGTGGGCAGACTGAGAGGACGGTGGCAGGCTGCTCAGCGGGCCCCAGACGGCCCTTGTAACATTTTTTTTCTGACGGGCCTCGACCGGGCCACGGCCAGGCTGCCTGCCTGCGGCCTAACTGGACACCCGCCGGGCACGTGCTGGGCAAATATCAGCATATGGGCGTGGCCTGGACGGACGCTGGGTTCCAGATGGGTCCTGCCTGGTCCCATCTTGTAGAAATACTCCACGCCAGCTGGGCACAGGTCCTTGCCAGGGATGGGCCCAGCAAGAAGCCTGCGCGGCAGAGCAGGGTACATGATGAGCTCGACAAGAGCGTTAGCTGGGACCTGGCACGGCAATGGCTGGGTTCTGACAGGGCGTCAGCTAGGCTCTGGCTTCGCAAAGCCTGCTGCCCCGTTGTGCATCAGCCAGTTTTTTGTCCATACTACATAGAGATGGTAACTCACGCAGTACAATGTTCAAAGCCGCTATGCCCAAGGCCACGCACTATTGGAGGAGTTGCTGTTGGCGTCAAACTCGTACAGAAAGGCCAGTACTGACCTGCCGTGCTAATAGAAGTAGCCCTGCCGGGGGTCGGAACAGGTCGGACAAGTCTAGGCCTAGTGTCACAGCCCTTGCACCAAAGACGTCGATGGGCTGCAGCCTTCCCCAATCTCCCGCGAGGAGGTTGCTGGTTCATCAGTTGCAGGTGCGTATCAGCTGCAGGTGCGTATGTACGGAAGAACGGAGCACGCAACCCTGCGATTATGATGTTATTGTGGGAGAAGTACCGGCCGGTGATGTAAATCTCGCATCGGCAGGTATGGCCTTTTTCGTTCAAATGACCCCCTGAAAGTGCAGTACTAATGCCGGCCCCTTGCACGTGTAGTAATGGCCGTAATATGGCGGCCCGGAAAAGTTATTATTATAACACTCGAAAATTGCGACTTGTTGCATTGAAAAGGATATGTATCGGCCTAGTAGCTGTCAGTACAACACACTCCGCCGAGTTTTCTTTCGGTTGTTTTTGGTCGATCCCGCGACAGCGTATCACTGAATGCTGCAGGGTCGGCTTGAGAGGTCATTTGCAAAGATACGGGTCCAGTTTGACGTACTTCTACTTGTGTGCGGAAGGTGCAACCTTGCCATGCGATTTCATTGTGGGAGCACTCTCGGTTGGCAATGTAAATGTCGCAACGGCAGTGACGGCCATTTGTGTTCCAATCACCCTTTGACAGGGCAATGCTAACGTCGGCCTGTCCGAACTGAGGGTGGTGTCAAAAATAGAGTGGCCCGTGAGAACAACTATGAATACCCTGAAAGATTGCGACTTGGTGCATTCAATAGGAGTGGTGCATTTGATAGAACTGGGGCATTCTATAGGACTGGTGCATTCGATAGGACTGGAGCATTTGATAGGATTATGAGCTGCTAGCACGACACACTCGTCCGATTTTTTTTTCGAGATTTTTTACTATCACCCGATAGCGTATAACCCAATGATCGCGCGTCGGCTGGAGGGGTTATTTACATAGGTGCGGCATCCAATTTGAACTTTGTTTATCTTTGCGCAGAAGGTGCAATCTAGCCGTAACGATTTTATTGTGGGAGTACTATCCGCCGGCAATGTGGATCTTACATCGGCAGACATTATTTGATGGCAAGGCTGCACCTACCACGCACAAGCAGAAACATCTGAAATTGGACGCCGTATCTGTGTAAATCACTCCTCCAGCCGGTACATCGTCAGACATTATTTGATGGCAAGGCTGCACCTACCATGCACAAGTAGAAACATCTGAAATTGGACGCCGTATCTGTGTAAATCACTCCTCCAGCCGGTACGCCAGCATTGAGTGATACCATGTTGGGGGATCATCAAAATAAGGAAATAGAAAGAAATTGGACGATGTGTTTGTGCTGGCAGCTGATAGTTCTATCAGATGCACCAAGTAAAAATCTTCAGTGTCATTATAGCTCATTTCAGGTGCCACCTTGTCATGTCCATCACTCTATGTGAAGGCAGGCCGCTGTCAGCTGTGTCAAGGGGTGATTTAAGAAATACTTGTACATGCCGATTGAAACTGAGAGCCGCATTGCTTTTTCGCAAGGTCTTACGAGAAAACAAAGCCAGGTAGCATATGAATTTGCCAAGGCATCACTCGTTCAGATTAAAGGTCCAGTTCAGCTACAAAATGAGAAAAAAACGCAGAAAACAAAACAAAAATTGCTGTGACGGATTTTTAATCTGATTCCGTGCTGAATATAGGTTAATGATTGCACTCCAAACCCACCATCACATTGTTTTAATGTTTGGTCAACGAATTCATTTTGCCTCGGTCCCTTATCCAAATAAACGAAAGAATTTTTCCCGTGTAATGCGACTACACGATTTTCGGCCGCTCTATAACCAGGGTGATACTACCAAGCCAAAGGCTTAGTGGCCCTCTCTGACGAGCCATTTGCCAGCGCATTTGCTGGAAGGCGAACTTACCACCGCGCGTTTCGCCACATCACGAATATAGTCAGTACAACTTCAGCGCTATTCCGAAGTTGGGCTCCTACCACGACGGTTGGCGTGCAGCCACTGAGTCCAGCCACACATTGCAGCCACTGGTTCGGAGTGATGCAGTGTCTGTAAGCTGCCCCTTTACTGACTATCTTTGTCAAGAAATATCATCCGATTCTCTAATCCTCTTTCTTGCTTTATCCTGAATCCTCATGGCGCCCCGCTTGTCTGGGGCAGGTTGCACGCGCCAGCCGCAAGTGGACCGAGAGGCCCCTGCAAGTGGGACCCTGACGGGACACCCGGTGCGTACCCTGCAGAGGGGTCCCTGCACGGGCTAAGGCTCGGTGGTTGGCCTCCCAGGCGCACAAATTCCTTTCTCACCGATATCCATTCTCCTTCATCACACAGCCCTGAAACTGTCCTTACTGGTGGAAACAGGTCTAATCCAAATAACCAAATAACCACACCAAGAATATCACCCGCGACCTAGTAAGCACTCAGGCATAGTCAATCTCGTATAAGTGCATAATGCCATTAAGCGGGGCAGTGGCGTTGTTTTTACAATACCACACTCTTTTCGGGGACATACCAGAGGAAGTTCGAGCCTCATCTAGAATGCTGTGGCCAATGTGTTCCAAATTTGCCTACCTGCGTTCTGTTGCCCATGTGGGCTATTCAACTATTCAGGATCCGATCAAACTGTCAGACTGCAATGGAAACTATATCTCCATGTGCGGCACACAAGGATGTCATTTAATACTTCTCAGTCTTAGGCATTTAAGTTAATTCTATGCTGGTCCTTTATCACTTTGCTGTGCTGAACTGTTTTTGTCTGTCTCTTTGTATGTTTGTTCCTAATACAATTAAAGTGGTCGAATGTTGTCTCT